ACCGCTTAAAGAATCAATTACTGAACTCGGTGATAGTTATGAAGTCGCAAAAAATAGGTTTCTATCACTCGAACGAAAACTTGAACGCAATGTTGAATACAAACGAATGTATCATGAGTTCCTGAACGAATATATAAGGCTAGGACACATGACTCGTGTTGAATGTTGCTCATCGCCTAATTATTTCCTACCTCACCATGGCGTGTTCCGTGAGGATAGTGTTACCACTAAGTTACGTGTAGTGTTTAATGCTAGTCAATCTACGTCATCGGGGAAGTCGCTTAACGATATTCAGATGACAGGTCCTCCTTTACAAAATGATTTATGTGCGCTTCTTTTGCGTTTCCGTCAATATAAATATGTTGCTTGCGCTGATATAGAGAAAATGTTCAGACAGATATTGGTACAGGAAGATCAAAGAAATTTACAGATGATATTATGGCGAGAGAACCCTTCCGAGCCACTGTCAGCATACCAGCTTAACACCGTTACGTATAGTACCGCGTCTGCACCTTACCTTAGTATGCGATGTATTAAACAATTAGGTCATGAATGCGCGAACGCAGACATTGCATATACGCTATTAAATAATTTCTATGTTGATGATTGCCTTTTAGGACATGATAATAAGGCTGAGTTAGGGCGTATATGTAGAGGTGTTAACGATGTGTGTAAGTCGGGCTGTTTTTCGTTACGGAAGTGGATATTTGACTCGGAGGAGGTAGCTAGAGAAGTCGTTCAAGATGATAGTTTTCAATCGAAACACTTCACGTTAAACGAAAATCACACTAATAAAACCTTAGGCTTAGGTTGGTCTAATAGTAACGACGAATTTCATTTTACTACCAGAATAAACGATGTTTCAGTTCCGATAACTAAACGCTTAATTTTGTCGGTCGTGTCACAAATATACGATCCCTTAGGTTTACTCAGCCCTGTTATTATTAAAGCAAAAATATTGCTACAAAAATTATGGCTTTGCAAGCTCGACTGGGATGATGCAGTACCTTTAGAAATAAAAAATATTTGGGAAAAATTCGTTAATTCATTAACTATGTTGCATCTTATTCGAGTGCCTCGTCATATAATTGGGTCTAATCCGATTCGAATCGAACTCCATATATTCACCGATGCCAGTGAAAGTGCATACGGCGCGTGTGCATACAGCCGTACAATCGGTGCGGCCGGAGACATTACAATGCGAATGATTTGTTCAAAGAGTCGCGTCGCTCCGGTCAAACCGGTCAGTGTCCCGCGACTAGAATTGTGTGGCGCTTTGATGGGAGCAAAACTATACAACACATTATCTAGTTCACTTAGTGTAAAATATGATAAAATCGTAATGTGGTGTGATTCAATGATAGTGCTGGGCTGGCTGAGAATGTCGCCTCATTTACTCAAACCATTCGTGCAAAATAGGGTTATAGAAATAAACGACATGACACATCACGTCACCTGGAACCACATAAGTGGCACTGATAACCCAGCAGACTTACTAACACGAGGTTTAACAATTATTGAACTCATTAATTCCGATTTGTGGTGGAACGGGCCCTTATTACTACGGGAACAGGTAACTGATTTTTGTCAATCACCAGATTTGTTTATTGAACCGACCAGTTTGCCAGAATTAAAGTAAAAGGAGGCTACTGTTATGACCTGTAATACTACAAGTATTAATTTTGATTTTAAACGATTCTCTTCATTTTGTAAACTTCAACGTACTTATGCATACGTACTTAGATTTATTTATAACCTTAAATTAAAAAAGAAGCGTGATCGTTTATTAGGTCCCTTGTCGGTGAAAGAATTAAACGAATCGTTGCAATTCGTCATTATGAGAGTCCAATTGGAGTCGTTTCCAGATGAACATAAAACTTTATTAAATAAATTGCCAATAAAATCGCCCCGTTGCTTACTAAGTTTGAATTTGTTTCTAGATGAGAAAAACATTATACGAGTGGGAGGTCGATTATTAAATTCGTCTGATTTCTCATATAACAAGAAACATCCTATGCTGTTGTGTGGTAAGCATTATGTTACACAACTTATCTTCAAACAGGAACACTTAAAGCTCTTACATGCTGGGCCTCAACATTTGCTTGCTTCTATGAGGGAGACCTGGTGGCCCTTAGGTGGGAGAAATCTAGCTTGGAAAACCATACAGCAGTGTGGGGTATGTACTCGAATGAAAGGTCAAAGTGTGCAACCAATCATGGGAAACCTACCACAGGAACGCATAGAAGCCAACTTACCTTTCTTAAATAGTGGGGTTGATTATGCAGGTCCATTTTATATTTTAAATCGAAAGGGCAGGGGCTCTAGACTTGAGAAATGTTATTTATGTTTATTCGTTTGCTTTACCACAAAAGCGTTGCATTTGGAACTTGTCACAAACTTAACATCAGAATACTATATCTTTGCATTAAAAAGATTTATTTCTCGTAGAGGAAATCCACGTTGTATTTTCTCTGACCATGGTAGGAATTTTGTAGGTGCAAAGCGGGAACTTACAGATTTTTTATGTACAGAGTCTCAATCTATAATTGATTACGCTTCATCCAAAGGTATAGACTTTAAATTCATACCACCCTACGCACCTCATTTTGGTGGTTTGTGGGAAGCAGGGGTGAAGTCCTGTAAACATCATCTTACTCGAGTGTTAGCTAATAGTCACTTAACTTATGAAGAGTTCAGTACAGTTTTGGCACAAATCGAAGCTGTCCTGAATTCTCGTCCTATGTATCCTCTGTCCTCAGAACCCACAGATTATACTCCACTCACTCCAGCACATTTCCTGATTGGCCGACCGCTGACCTCACAAGCTAGCGAGGATGTTCTGAGTACTCCGGCACACGCATTATCCCGGTACAAACGCATTGAGCAGCTGAGGCAACATTTCTGGAGGAGATGGTCAACTGAATACATTGGAGAACTACAAACTCGCACAAAATGGAAGGAAAATAGAGGAGCATTGAAACCTGACACTTTAGTACTCATAAAAGAAGATAACCTTCCTCCAATGAAGTGGCGCTTGGGAAGAATTTTGTCTGTTTTTCCAGGAAGGGACGGTGTACCCCGTGTAGCCAGCATAAAGACAGCTAATGGAATCATCGAGAGAGCGTTCCCGAGGATTTGTCCCCTGCCGGTCCTCACAAATGAAGAGGATGATTCTATTGCGAAGACGTCTATTCAACACTCTTGAGAGCAGCTGTGAAGCTCTCAAGGCCGGCCGGCATGTTTATGACTGTCAAACTCCACCTAGCGGCAAGATGGAAAACCTGAAGCAGTCAAGCGAATCGACACATCGACACATCGGCTCAGCGGTTTCATTCGATGACAACAGATGGCGCTGCTTGACATTATATAAACCAAAACTCTTAACTATTCGACCCCCTTTTTTTCTTTTGAATATTCGCTCCGACTACCAACTCGACTACCAATTTTGATTATAAAATGTAACGGAAAAATATATAATAATTAAAACTGTTATACGGAAGAAGACGCTTTATTTCCTTCAACAACCAGAATACAAAACAATATGTATGAATTAATGTCTAGACTAGATGGTGATAAATTACGACATTAGTATGCGAACTGGATATAAAATGCAATACACAATTATTATAAGTTAGTAAGGTAAGGTAAGGTAATTATTAAGCACTAGTTGGTATATGAAATGAAAGGAGCCCAAAAGGCGCGTTCAACTAATCTCCAAACCTCGTTGTCCGCAGGGTCGTAAGGAGGTAGCCAGGTCCAGGGAGTCCCAATTCCACTTCCAGAGGCAGCACACGACTCCGCCTCCCTCGCCGAACCGCAGCGCGGTCGCCGGAGAACCTCACGTCGATGGGGCCAGCAGGCTCGCGGGGACAGGAGGCAGGGCAGCAGTACTCGCGGCAGAAAGGCACGCGGCGCGCCTCTGCAGTCCCGTCGCACAACACAAAGCCACCGAACCACGCATCGGTGGGCCCGGCCGACTCACGAGGGCGGGAGGCATGGCAGCAGTAGTATACGCAACAAAGGACGGTCCAAGAAGAGTCCCCGGTCTAGGTCGCGGTCACAGAGTCCAAAAGGTTTGGGGCCGAAGCGTCGCTCATTACACTCCGAATTATTGTGCGTAATTGTCTTCCTTAGTATATTAATCCAGTAAATTTTGTGTAAATCCAGTCAATAGATGTTTCCTATTTACATGTATATTGCGCCGTTAGCATAGTTCTCAGTAGTGCAATCCTAACAACACATTGCAAATAGATGTTAGGGTATGTATTGCGTCATTAGCGTGGATCCTAACAGAGCGGCTCCCAACCGCAGTCCATGTTAGGGTGTTAGGGTAAGTAAACTTCGCTCGTTGCGTCGGAGTTAGGGTGTTATGGTAAAAAGTTTGGTTCGTTTCGTCGATGTTAGGATGTAGAATGAAAAATCTCGTTCGTTTCGTCGATGTTAGGATGTTAGGATGGACTACAAAATGGCATCCATGAATCACAAATCACAAAAGCAGCAAAAATACCTGAATTTTGAGCGGGACCGGAGCCCTACGTGTCGTCCAAAAGAATACCTTGGTAGCATGGATTGTCGTCTCCCGTGGGGTCGCTCCGTCTCTTGCATTGGGACCTCCATATCTGTCCCAGCACTCACTCAAAATCGCTGTCTTGGTGTTAATAATGAACCGTCCGCGCCGCACACGTTGGTTGTTACATGAAGCGGTAACCAAACAATCCTAACCGAGCGACGCTCACACTCGTAAGGGGCATCATAGCTCAGGTTCTATCCGGTTCTACATCACTCCATTTTCACAGAAAGTCACTCCTATGCACTGTTGAAGTCTTTAAGTAGCACAGTCACTATAGGGTATCACTGTTTATATGCCCCAATCAACTAACACGCACTCGATGGGGCCGCGTCCGACAAGATGGCGACAACGAAGAACAGTTTTTCGCGAATAACTTTTCCAAAAATTGTCGGAATCACGTAAACGATACGTCCCCGTGTAGGTCTTGTGATTACGCGTCTATTGATGTATAATTCAATGGGGGTTCACGCGAAAAACCCACTCTTTTGAATTTATTTCCACGGAGCGCTCGCAAAACGATGCTCACTCTTCGAGGTGCGGCGCAAGACGACGCTTTGGTGTTAGTAGGCGTCGTTTGTGCCACCTGTGCATAGGTTTTAGTTCCCGTCTGCTGTATCGATTGCGAGGGCGCTTGTTGTTGCTTCTTTTTGTCCGACGCTAGCGGAGGACGAACATTTTGTTTCGGCAACAGACGATTTTCGAGGCCCTCTATTCGAGCATTAATAATATCGCCAGTCGTTCGAATTAGTTGTGATTTCAGTTCTTCGAACATATTGGCAAAGTCCGTTCCATCAACCTGCAAAACCTCAGTATGATCCACCACGACTGGCTGGCTTTTAGGGGTTTTTGCACTACTCTTGCTTAGAGCGCTCACCTGAGCACTAAGACAGGCGACTTGCTTCTTCAGCTGATTAACACTGCTTGTCAGCTGGTTGTTTCTATCCTCCAGGCTTTTAATGTGTTGAGGGGTGTCTCTACTGAGGAGTTTAGAAATGACTCTATTTAAGCCCTTAGTAGCCTCATTCATAGCTCTTCTACAGTCTCCTTTGAGGTTCCTGCTTTTTTGGGTGGTAGTCGTTAGTAAGCACAGCCACTTCTTTGCCTCTGTATCAAGCTGCTCCTCAGTTTGAGCCTCCATCGATTCTTCTTCCGTCGGCTGGACCGTCCTGGGTTCCCTAGTGTGTCTGTACGAACTGACACTCCTTGTTGGGGAAATACCTCCAACTGAATCTCCACAGCTCGACATGCACTCGATATCCGACGGGTCCTTCAGCATGTTTTTGTGTTTGGCAAGATGTTTATTTGCCCCATCCTTTAGTCGAGCTTTAGGTTTGCGTCGGCTAATATTTATGTTTGCCGTCTCTGATCTTTCGGAGTCACCATCACTGCCATTTGTACTGCTGTCAACCGGCGAAATATGTTGGCGCTTTTTACCGGCTATGACAGGTGGCTTAGGGATTTCATGAACCGGAGGTTCAGGGGCTGGCACAGCGGGTGTAGTTTGTGTCAGAATCCTGTTCTCCGGTGTGGAGTCCACACGTGTAGCCTCTTTGAATTGACTCCTCGTCATTCTCTTTTCAAGCGGTGCGTCACTTCCTATTTTGGCGATTGAAGTATCACCACCATCATCTCGAGCCCTGTTATCATCGACTATCACAAATTTAATCGGGCCAGAATTTGTTATCGGCGTAAATTTAGCTGAATTTACAGTTCTGGTCGATTTCGTCTCTATATCCGATCCAGACAGCGCAGAACCATAGTTAGTTAAGTCACTGCACGAGGAATGAATCCCCCTTCGTGTGTCAATGCTTCGTGTCCTGGCATGGCTTGCTGAGGCAGAACTACTTCTGCTGCCAGGTGTGCTTGGACTGCGATCACGCATATCCGATTCCCTCCGCGCTCTTCCGCCTGCGCAAGGCCCCCTCCGCTCGTCCACGCCCGAGCTCGGCCCTCAATCGTCTAAGGGTTTTTTGAAAATTTTATTGATAGAATCCATGTTGTTCCCACGAGAAGAACGGTTAAGCAGTCCACCCGGGCAGAGCCGACATACCCGGGTAAGGCTAGGGTTGTGAAGGTGGGGGTCGCCTGTTCCCCACCTCCAGAGGACGCGTCGCGACTGGGAAAAGCCCCCAGCCACAAACCCCTCGGCCGCGTCTACCTTGGGCTGGCTGATTTTTTATTGAGGTTGTCTCCTCTTGAGGCCACCCAACTAAGGGAAGCCCCCGCCCCGGCCCCGCAGCAGTGGGGTAACGGGGTCGGCCGGTGGTTGCTGACAATCAGCACCCGCTGCTCATGACCACCATGAGACAGCGGGCCCACCGCCCTCGCTGGCACGGCCGCTTCCCGGGATACCCAGGGCGCCCGTCCAGCCCGAACCGCGCCGCCGCTGCCCGACTTACCGTCGGGGCGCCGGCCCGGAGCCCACACTGCGAGACTTCTCGCACAACGGAGACAGAACTCCGTTTGCCCACTCGTATTCTGACATCAGCCGTGGCTCAAAGATGCTTTGAGCGGCCACGTTGCCCGGGGTGCACCGCGAGGAGGTTGTCAGACATCGCACCCCCCCAAAAACTTTTTTTTTTTTTTTTTTTTTTTTTTTTTTTTTTTTTTTTTTTTTTTTTTTTTTGACGCAGAGAAATGCATTACTGCATACCCGTTTCACCCAGCGCAGGCTCCACAGGTTATGTGGGGCTCCCCCCTGCGGACCCACCCCAGAATGGGGCTAGTCAAATAGCAGGGGTATACCCACTAAAACTCAGCGATGTCCCTCGCATGGAAGGCGATGCACGGGATCGGCCCGGAGGCCATACACCGCGCGGTTCGCCCCCATTTCGGCCCGCCCTGAAAAGGGCAGGTCCCTCGCGGGTTGGGCGGCACATCTCAGAGACACTCGAGACGTACCCCCCCAGACAGGGTGGAGACGTGCAATGCCGGCCAGTGCGCAAACCAGCCAGCTGCCCCCGACTAGGGACTAGAGATGCGCGACTGTGCAATCTCTAGTCTCTTTCCCATCTATTGGAAGGACCCACACAGGCAGAGCCCTTATCGTGGATCCCTCCCCCCGTACGGTCGCAGCTACCACCGGAGTACGGCCCGACCACAGCCCTGAAAAGGGCGCTATCAGGCCTCAACAACCGGCTCCGCCGCTCCTCTCTGCGCGGCCCCGGAATGGTACCGCCCGGACCGGCCGCCACACACACCAAAGCGGTGTGTGTGGCGGCCGAGCCGGGCACCCAGACCGGGGCCGCTGAGGAAATCCCCTCACCTGCGAGACGCAGGTCGACTCCCCATGTACCTCTCACTAGCAGCGACACAGGCGCACCCGGCAGACGTAACCCTTTTTTTTTTTTTGTTAACGCAGGGGAAATGCACCTTAAGCCTCAAACCAGGGCTCCTCTTCCACCCCGCCCTGAACAGGGCAGGTTAACGTGGAAGCCCTACCTGGTAAAACCCGCTGCGGTTCACCTCACGCGAAATAAAGGAGGAACCCGGTATCCTGCACGGAGGGCCCGGTTTCCTCCATTCGCGCTGGGACTCCTCTCGCGGAGGGTTGAGAGGAGTCGCCCTCTGCGGGATGGGAAAGGCTTGGGTGAATAACAACCTTTCCCAGACGGTGGACCGTCCCGACGAGCTAGCCTCGCCAGGGTGCAGGGTGGGGTGTCAGCCCTCGTCCCGCCGGTCCGCAGAGGGGTGGGATGCGTTAATACGCGATCCCATCCCCCTTGCCGTCTTCTGTTTGGGAGCACTACTCACCACCTCCCTTGGCCCTTCAGGCCTCCCATGTAGTGCTCCCATTCCCGCTGCCACCGGGTCCCATCGCCCGCCGGCGCCGCCAGTGCCGGACTATGTTAACATAGCCCGTCGTGGCAGCGCCGGCCGGCGAAGGGTCCCGGTCTCCCTTGTTGTGCCTGAGGCCGCCCCCCCGCAACCGGATGCCCCGCCCATCTTGGATGAGCGTTACCACCCGGCCCCGGGAGGACGGCCCCAGCTAGGACGACGGTGTCCACGACTCCGTCCATGCCCGGCCCGGACGCGTTCCCGCGGGTCCGCGGGCGCCGCATTCGCACTAGGTGCGTTTGCTGCGCCCGCAGCCCCGCGCCCCGCGCCCCGACCTAGCAGTGGACGGATCCGCCCCCACCGCCGCCCCACTCGCAGTCATGGGGTATCGCCATCCCGGGGGAAGGAGGGGGGGAGGCCCGCGCACCTAAGCGCGCGGACTCCCCCCCCCCGCCCGGGAGGCACCCCCGCCGACCCGGCCGGGGAGACGGCAGATGCCGCCCCCCCGGCCGACCCGACAGGGGATCGCCGCCGGGAAGCGCGGAAACGTGCGTCCCTAGGGACACACGGGGCGCGCCCCCCAGCGGCAGCCCCGGGCGATGATGCGCGCCGTGCACCCCCAAGGGTGCCCGCCGCGCCCCCCCGCCCGGGGTCCCCCACGACTACGATCACAACGGGAGATCACCTTGGTCCACGGTGTCGCCAGCCCCCCAATGCTACGCTCAACGGCATTCTCTCCTGGGGAGAGGTGACGCGAGCCGCAGCACAGGCGGCATTCGGCGACCCCGCGAAGCAAGGCTGGCGATTAGGAGGGAGTGTTGAGACTCTGCGCGTAGCGCCTGTGCCTCTGTCCTCCCCTCCTGCTGCGGGAAGAACCCGTCGGGGCGTTGGCCTCTCGGGCTCTTTCCGCGGCCTCCTTTTGTAGGATTACATCCTCACAAAAGGAGGCGACCGCTCGCCAGGACCTGTCGCTATCCAGCATGGCAGCTACCACGCTGGGCAGGGAGAGGTCCCGACTCCCTATCGTCTCTGCCAGCTCCCGGCGCTGCTCCGACCAAGCGCTGCACACACACAACGTGTGGAGCGCGGTGTCCACTGCAGCGTCACAGTGGTGGCAGGACGGGGACTCCTCTCTTCCGATCCGATGCAGGTACTGCCCGAAGCAACCATGCCCCGACAGCACCTGCACCATCCGGAAAGTGAGTGTCCCTTCCCTTCGCTCTATCCACTGCTGAAAGACGGGTCGTATGGCTTCGATGGTCCTTCGCCCCGCCGTTGGGGCATCGAGCCGACCCTTCCACTCTTCCAGCACGGATTCCCTCGCGGTCATACGTGTTGCCGCCATTTCCTCAGTGGTGGCTGGCTCCCCCCTAGCCAGCGCACTCACCCTGCACTGATACACCTCGCTGAGGACCTTGGCTTCAAGGTCCCATGGAGGCATGCCAGCCAGCAATGATGCTGCCTCCGCAGAAATGGTTTTATATGCCCTGGCAACACGACTACATATTGTCCTCTGGGGCCTTCGTAGTAGGGCAATGTTGGTGGCGTTGAGAGCCGGGGCCCACACCGGCGCCCCATACAGCGCCATGGACTTGAGGATGCCAGCAAATAGTCCACGGCAGCTGGATCCCGGCCCCCCGATGTTTGGCAGCAGACTGCCGAGTGCTGCTGCTGCCTTCAGTACCCTGGGAATGAGTTGCTGGAAATGGCGGTCAAACCTCCATCTCCCATCCAGAACTAATCCCAGGTACTTCATTCCCAAAGACATCGGGATGACTTCGCCCCCCACTCTCAGATGTGCCCCTGCAGGCGGTCCCCTTCTTGGGCCGTGAAAGAAAATCGCCTCGGTCTTTTGAACCGCCACTTTCAGACCGAGAGCCCTTATCCTCCTCATCACAAGCTCCGTGGTCCTCTGGGCTATGATTTTGGCCACCTCAAAGCTGCGTCCCTTGGCTGCCACTAAGGTGTCATCCGCATAGCAGATCACCTTCATGCTGCTTAGCAGATGACCCCTCAGGAGCCAGTCATACCCGAGGTTCCACAGTAACGGCCCTAAAACCGAGCCCTGTGGAACCCCGCATGTCATGTCCCTGGTTACTATCCCGCTGCCAGCTCTCATGTAGGCAACGCTTCTTCCCTCCAGATAGCTTTCTAGCGTGCCGACCACATAGGAGGGGAGCCTGTGGTATCTTAAAGCCCTCCTGATGCATGGGAAGGGGAGGGTGTTGAAGGCGTTACTTATGTCCAACGACACAGCAACAACCCTTTCATCCCTTCCCATGGCCGCCTCCGTGAATCTTTTCAGGTCCATGATTGCATCGACCGTGCTCCTCCTTCTCCTAAAGCCGTACTGGCGGTCCGACAAGTTTGGGCCGACCGTATTCAGATGTTGGATGATACGGTCTGCCAGGACACGCTCCAGCAGCTTTCCCATCTCGTCGAGGAGCACGATCGGTCGGTATGCTGATGGCTCTTCAGGTGGTCTGCCATCTTTGCGGAGGAGGCAGAGTCTTCCCTTTCTCCACCTTTGTGGGAAGGTGTTCTCCAGAAGGCACCGGTTGAGCAGGGTCTTGATGTGTTGCCCTAGATGTCGGAACACTTTCGGCAGGATCCTGCCCGGAATGCCATCAGGTCCCGGCGCCTTCTTCTTCCCCCTCAGTCTGAGTACTGCGTCTCTCAACTCCTCCTCCGTAATTTGAGGAACCGCCTCCTCAAGTTCTCCCTCTTCCGGCAGCGTCATAAAATGCTCTGGCTCCGTTGGGCTGCTGGGGAAGAGCCCGGACACGATCCGGTCCAGTAGCATTGGATCGAAGGACTCCGTGGGTGGGGCTTGTCTTTTTAGCCTTTTCCGCACCATGCGAAATGGTCTCCCCCACGGGTCCCTATTGAGGTCCTCTATAAACTCCTGCCACGACCTGGATTTCGACTCGCTGATTTCCTTTTCCAGGTCTCTTTTCAGGTCGTGGTAGGTTTGCCTCAATCTGTCCTCTTCTCCCGGGACGCGGTTTCTCCGCCTTCTGCAGCGCTGAAGGGCATGTCTGGCGCAGGTGCATATGTCTCTTTTTTCGGCAATCTCCGCTGTCCACCAGTACACGCCCTTCTTGTGGTGTTGGCTGCGGACTCTCGGCATCGCCGCATCGCACACTGCTGTAAGTGCCTCCACCAGATCGTTCGCCCCTTCTTGGGCGCTTTCAGCCAACGAGCCGTCTAGCATCCAGGCCTGGACAATCGCCTCCTCTGCCATTCTTTCCTCATCCAGCCTGGTCATAGCCCATCTCGGGAGCGGCGCCACTGTTGTTCCCGTTGGGGGTATTGCATGGGCTACCCTGAACCGTATGAAGCGGTGGTCAGACAGGGACTCTGTTAGGAGGACCCTCCATTCCTCTATGCGTTGGGCCACAGCAGGGGTTGCAAACGTAATGTCTACTATGGATCCCCCCTGTGGCCGGACGCACGTAAAAACCGTGCCCCTATTCGCCACCATGTAACCGGCGGCCGTGGCCCAGTCTAGCACCCATCTCCCTTCTCTGTCCGTGACAGGGGAACCCCAAGCCGAATGTTTGGCATTGAAGTCCCCCATCACCAGCATTTGGCCGGTTGATAACCTCCGGCATGCTCTTTCCAGACATTGTAGGCTCTCCTCATACTGCCTCGGGGTGAGATTAGGCGAGAGGTAGACCAAGATTCTTCCCCCCGCAGCGATCTTTTTACCCGCTGCGACCGGGCATTTAATCATTGCAGAGCCCATTCCCCCCAGCCCTACACGAATTTCTCCCACTTTGACACTCTCGGTAGGACAGCCTCCCTGTGTTGCCACAGCTATCCCCACCTCCTCTCTCGTCACCGAGTCGTCCAAATCTAAGACCCTGAGGTCGACACACTTTACCGGTCTGGAGACGACGACTCCGCTCCCCAGCTTCTCCCTGAGCTTCTCGGCCAGTGCGTCGGCCTTTTCAGGGTTCGAGTCCCCGGACACCTCCAGTAGCCTGGCGCCCGTCGCGGCATGCCTAAGCCTTAGGTTACCTCTCTCTATATTAAGTTCAGCCAGGTTAATGTCTTTTCGCGCAGTCGCTAGAACCTGGCTGTAGCTGGTCCCCTTTTTTAATTCTTCCTCCGTCAAGGCTATCACCACCGCTGCCGTTTTCGGAGCCCTTAACCTTTTTCTTCCTTTCTTTCTTCCTTTTCCAGTAGTTGTGGGCTGGGCTCGCATCTTGCTGGTTTGCGAGGTGCCTGTACGCTGAACGGCACCTTGTTTTGAGCCCTCCGTCTTCTCTTTTCCCCCAGTTTTTTCCCTGTTATTCCCCCCTCCTTTTTTCTCCCCCTGCTTTCTTACTATTTCTGCATAGGTTCTTTCCCGTTTCCCTTGTTCCTTAGTTTTCTTCCTTTTCTCCCTGGTCACCTTTTGCCAGGTTCCTTCCTCATCCGTGCTGGTGTCAAGGGCAGTATCGGGCGGAATGGATGCGGAGGGTCGCTGGTTTCCCCCGACTTTCTCCGCCCTTTCTTTACCGTTTGCTACTGCCTTTGTCGTCTTCCCTCTTTTTTTAATTAATTCTTCTCTCTCTTTCAGCTCTTTATTATTATCCTTTGTTTTACCTTGGCTCTCCTCCTTCCTTTTATCGGCTGCGAGAGGCGGCCTGCGTCTGGGTTCCGGCAGAAGCCTGTCCTGTAGCCCATCAATGCGCGCAGAGACCATCGCCCCCGCCGTCATCGCAGCTTCCTTTTTCAACTCTTCCATTTTTTCATCCAAGATTTCTCTTATCCATGAGACCATCTCGGGTCCCAAATTGCTGGCATTTTGGGTCTCCAGTTCTCTGATGGTCTTTTTCCTTTCTTTTGCAGCCTTGCTGCTTTCTTCAAAGGCTCTTCTTAGCTCTTTGACCTCCTCCTTAAAGTTTCTTAGCTCGGAGGCGAGCCGTTTGTTGTCCGCAATTAGGCGTTGGATTTCCCTATTTGCTGGCTCGCTCTCCAACCTCTCTCGTGCCCTTTCCATTACCTCTGCCATCTTCATGAGGTCTGCCCCTTGCTTCCCTCGCTGTTTTTTAGCCATTTCTTTAAGTGCCCAGGCAGACTCTCCTATCTCTTTTTGTAGATTAGAATCTACTTCTTCCACCTCCATCTTATTACTATCCCTATCCGAATTCCTCCTATAATAGTAACTCGACTCATATACTGTTCCCTTTTTCCTTTCCGCACCTCCACCTTTTTTGGGTGGGGGGGATGTCGTTTCCGGGTCCTTTCTCTCTTTTTCCCTAATCCTATATTCTACTTCCTCCCCTGATATTATTCTTTTCCTCTTTTTACCTTCTTTTTTCTTTTCGGATCCTGATTCTTCTCTTTCCATGGGGTTTACACCCATACACAATTCCATGTCCTCATCTTCTCTATCCGTAGTCCCTATCTCATAATCCTCACTATCCGTAGTCCCGTCCTGTTCTTCCGGGGCTCCGTTTTCCTCCTTTTCCATATCTTTCCTAATTTTTCTTTTGCAGTCATCCACCCACAGGTAATTTCCCGTGTGCGTGGGCTGCCCTCTAGGGATGCCAGTTTTCCTCCCTGTTTCCTCCTTCTCCTTATCCTCTCCAGGATTCTTTTCCTCTAACACTTCCGTTTTTCCCTTTTCTCTCCTTTCTTCCTGCGCCTCAGTTCGGGACGAGACCGACTCTTTGCTGCCACGAGTAGCACTTCTCGTGGTCACTCCCTCCCGTTTCTCGCACCTCGGCACCCCCCCCAACGACATCTGCGACAGAGACTTCTTCGTCGTCCTGTTGCCTACATTCTCCCTTCTCATATCGCTGGACCTGTTTGACCTGACCATATCATCCAAGCTCTTCGAACTTCCCATCCTTTTGAGTTCCATTTTGCCTGGGAAGTGCAAATGGACATCTCCCTCTCCTCCTTTCCTACTACTATCCTCTCCTCCTTTCCTACTATTTTTTCCTTTTCCGGTCGACTTCGACCCTTCCTCTCCCACTTCTCTCCTCCCTACTGTTCTTTGGCTCTGTTTCTTCGCCCCTGAGCTCTGGCTTTCGGCGGTTACTCCACTCTGCCGAGTGTGTGGAGCCTGTGACAGGTGTTGACGCGATAACTCAGCGCCATCACCTGTCACAGCGAGGGATTCTCCGCATCCCGCGGTACCCTCCGGCAGTACTTCTTTTTCGTAAGTCGCCATTTCCATATTAGTTCCCCTGTTAAAGGCTCGAGGAGCTCCTTTCCCCAGTTTTCCCCCCCGTTTGGCTTTTTATAGAGGTGTGCTCCTCTTGGCCCCCACTAGGCAATGGCGGCCCCCGCTCCCGCACTACGTGCGGGGTTACGGGCGTGGCCGGCGGAAATCCCAATTGGGACCTCACCGGTATGTCTCACAGATGCGGGTAGAACCGCGCACACCTGTGCGACACACCGGTACACGCCGCCCACTAGAACAATGACGCCCCAGTCGTGGCTCGGAGCGAGCCTTTCCTCCCCCCTAAACTCCACAACGCAGGACGCCCCCCCCCCACATTTGACCCTTTCAGGTCCCCCCCCCCCCCTCGGCGGCCGCTACCCGGAATATGTCCAGGACGCCCGCCGAGCCCCAGTCGTCTGACCTCAGCCGTTGCGGCTCAAAGTATCGAAAGACACTTTGAGCGGCCACGTTGCCCGGGGTGCACCACGAGGAGGTGGCCAGACATCGCACCCCGCAGACGTAACCCTGCCAGGGAACCAGTCGACTGCTAGCCGCTCCAGCCGTCCCCCCCCCCGAGAGAGATGAGCACGCTAGTGCGTGTCCATCACCTCAGGGAGGTCCTCAGCCGGTTCCGCACGAGAAACATGGGGCACGGGTACCGACCGTGCCCACACCCTCTGTGGTGGCGGAGAGCAAACCTTGCTCCCCATGACGTGGTTCGCGGGGAGTGACGCAGCCGCGCAAACCGCGCAACGCATCTTCCCACGGCACGTCGCCGCTCGATGCCCCTCAAGGCCACATCTAAAACAGATGCCCGACCTGTCTTCCTTTGCGGGACACGTTCTCCGGACGTGTCCCGTGCCCATGCACCTGTAACAGCGCACGGGCAGGGGTTCGAGACGCTGGACTTTCGCCCTCGTCCAGCCAACCACCACCGATCCTCCACCCTCCAGGAGGGCACTGGCCGCGTCCGTTGGGCAGCGGACGAGCGCAACCTTACCTCCGCGCACTCCTTGCAAGAAAGGGCCCATCACGATTCGTTCCGGAGGGCATCCACCCCCCTTCGAAATGGCGGACCTTAACTCGTCCACCTCGACCGCCTCATCAAGGCCAGTGATGCGCATGTCAACGCGCTTTACTGGCCTTGTAACTTCGATGGTTGGGTCGAGCACTCTCCTCAGCTCAGACGCCAACCTATCCGCCAGCTGATCGCTCTTTGCCCCCGGAACCTTCAGTAAAAGGGCGCCCGATACCGCCCTCCCCATCTCGACCCCAGGAATACCCAGATCTTGGAGTCTGATCATGCGTCGCGCCTTGGTCATGATTTCCTTATATGTCACCCCCTTCCTAACCTCTTCAGGGGGGATGGAAACCATGACAGCCGACGTGTTCATCACCTTAACTTTCTTTCTGCCTCTCTTCCTGTGTGAGGGGGGCGGCTCCAGCGCCGTTGTTGCGGGCAGCCGTGTCACCAGCGCCGCATCTGTCACCCTCGCCTCTCCACCTTCCTTGTCTTTCCTCCTCTTCGTAACTTCCCTCTCAGTCTCATCCTTCCCCTTATCGGTCTTGTCCTTCCTCTTCCTTATCCTTTTCCTTTTACCTCCATTAGCAACAACCTGCGCCCAGGTGGGCAACTGGCCCGCTTTTGAGTTTTGCTGGGAGGATAAAGAACGTTTTCCCTCAGCACTCCCCGTGTCTTCGGAGGTCTCCACCTGGGAGCCAGCGTCAATTCCCCTTGCCATCTCCTCCGACTGCATTCCGACATCACACATCCTCGGGGGGGAATGTTGTACCCCCATGTTGGCACAGCCCGTCTTCGTGTCACACTGGACCCCTCGGTTGCAGCGTGACGTATGTGGCACATGTTGAACCCCCACGTTCGCACAGACCTTAGGGGTCTCAAGCTCCCTCACTCTTTCCTCTAGCAGTCTGTTGGCTGCAGTCAGCCTATCAATCTCTCTGCCGAGAAGCTCCCTCCTGTCCCTTATTCCTGTCAACGCGGCCTCAGCATCGAATAGGAAGGTCGCGATTTCGCCTGTGGTCAGCACGTGATCCTCTAGACAGTCCTTGACAGATCTGATGTCAAACTTCCCATCCTTGAACTTTAATGCACAGATTTTTGCGTTGCGCTGGTCCTTGCTCTCCATCAGCGCGGTTTCCCTCTCAGCAGCATCTGTACATATAGAAGCCCAGTCCCTCATTTCATATATAATGTAATTGATGTCGGGTATATCACCGCTTAGGCAGTTTCGATAAACATACACACCGTCATCCGAAGTCTCGTCCGAATCCTCTTTTGCCGATCTTCTCTCATCCACCTCCATCGGTTCCCTCTCACTCACGCCCATAGCGAGCCCCCTCGTATCCAAATGTGCACTCGATACACGTGGCTTGTTTGACTCAACAACGCCTGAGTCTGGCCCCCTCACTGCAAAAGTTTTTGTTTTTAAGTTACCATCCATATTGTTCCCACGAGAAACAAAGCAATAGTCGTCCACTCGCGCTGAGGCCAGATACGCGAGTAAGCCTAGGATTATGAAGGCGGGGGTCGGCCGGTCCCCGCCTCCAGAGGACCTGTAGCGACTCCTTCGCCAGGAGCCACTCACCTCCTCGCCCAGGTCAAGCTTGAGGTTAGCTGCTTTTTAACGTGGGTTCACCACACAGAACCGCCTAGCGAAAGGTAGCCCCCCCGTCTCTGCAAGCAGAGGTACGGGTCGGCCGGTGGTTGTCTTGAAAAAGACGTCTGACGCTCACGACACCGTGACACGCCAGACCCACCGTCCTCACCAGCACGGCCGCTGCCCGAGTCATTCTCGGGACGCCCGCCCAGCCCGAACCGCGCCGCCGCTACCCGTCCTACCGACGAGGCGCCGGCCCGGAGCCCTCAACACACAAGACTCCCCATGAAAGGGAAACCCCCTGTAACGCGACCCGAAACTGGGTCTTACCGCCCCACCCCCCCCCCCCCTCAAAAACCTAACCTAAGTCGACTAAACCTAACCTAACATCAAGTTAGGTTTTGGTGTTTAGAGGAAGTTAGAGGCTGTCCGACCACAGGACTCACTGTTTTGGTGAGTCTTCTGTTCGGGCAACACCTGGTAGAGAGGAGGAACGCCAAATAGAGTTCTGTGAATTTTTGCAATCTCTTTGGTATTTTTAATGTGCACCAAAGATGACTACGATTCCTGGTAAGTGTGGAAACGGAAAGTCAACTAAGGTGAACAGCGAGAGGAACAAGATGGGAAACAAAATTAGTAGTGAGGAGGAACTGGCAAATATACCAGCTACCGCTCAGTACGCGGAATTGACGAGAGAGTGTCGGGTTAACCTGGGGAGGTTATCAACCGAAACTATTGAGAGGATGCAGTCTCCAGTGTCGGTGGCAGGAGCAAAGAGGACACATGAGGAGACTCACGAGGGAGAATTTAGCTCGGACGAGGGGAGCAGCTCGGCCTCTAAGCCGAACGCAAAAAAGAAGGCTGGCAAGGGAAAAATCACCCAGGCCAAAGAACACCACGAAGGCTACACGATGGCCAGGAGGAGACTACAGAAGAAAATAGAGGAAAGTGAGGCAGAGGAAATGGAGAGAGAGGTAGCAGAAGATCTGTCGGATATGGAGCCTCGATCCACATCCATGCGGACACAATACATGAAGGGGCGTTCCACTGAGGAAGATGGAACGACTGACGCAGAGGGCTCGAACTGCTATGAAAAGGAGGATCTAAGATATCTGGCGAGGGCAAAACTAGATATCATGAGGGAGGCAATCAAAAAGTCTTCCAACCTAAAGGGAGGCATCAGGAAGGAGTTAAATGAAGCAGGAGACGAACTGCAGACCCTGATTGATGGGCTTGCTCAGTAGTGTCTCTCAGTAGTCTCTCAGTAGTGTCTCAGTAGTGGGAAGATCAGTAAATGACGAGATACGCCGCATAGAGGCCGAAAATAGGAGATTGGCCCGGGAGGTAAGCATCCTAAAATCCCAATTGGATGCCATCAAAAAAGGATACACATAAAAGTGTATAGAGGTAAAAGATACGAGGAAGAAAGTCGTATCTGAGATGGAATTGGAGAAGCATTTGACTCCAATACAGGATGGGGGATTAGAGGAGATACTCCAGCAATACCACAAGAACATAATGATCTCCGTGGGTAATATGTTCTCGGCAAGGCTGGAGGGTCTGGAGGCAAGACTGCTCCCAGCGGAGAAATTAAGGCCTCCACTGGCAGCGGACAGAAAGAGAGAGGAGAAGGAGGCAAGGAGTAAGGGAAAGGAAACCCCATCCATGCCTAAGACGGTACTCACCCCCTTAGCATCCACGTCCAAGGTGGCACCTGCCTCTTCGGGGCAGAAAGTTGCAACTGGACAGAAGACTAAGGAGAAAATAATGAAGGCGTCGACCGTAATAGACATGGAGGAGGAGGGAAATAAGGAGGAACCCGCAGAGAAAGAGACATGGGCAATGGTGGTGGGACGAAAGAGGAAGGGGAAGGGAAAAACCTCCCAACCCACTAACCCTCCACACCCCAACACGAAGAGCCAGAAGGCTGCGGCTTCGGTAAAGAAGGACGATGCAAAACAACCCACAGCGGCTCAGAAGGCTCAAAAGCCAAAACCGAAACTGACACCGCCAAAAACGGCGGCGGTAGTGGTGACGATTTCGGATGAGGCGGCAAGCAAAGGGGCCACATATGTGGAAGTGCTAGGAAGGGCAAGAAAAGAGGTAGACGCTCTTGCCCTAGGAGTACAGGACATAAGAATGAGGAAGACCGCCACAGGGGCTCGCATATTGGAGATCCCTGGGGAAAATGGAGGAGAAAAAGCCGACGCCTTAGCTAGCAGACTTAAGGCCACACTGGAAGGGGTAGCGAATATATCCCGACCGGTGAAGTCGGTGGACCTACGGGTGATGGACCTCGACGACTCTGTCGGGATGGAGGAACTGGCGGATATAATAGCCAGGGACGGACAATGCCAAAGAGCTCACGTGCGGGTTGGCCCGATAAGACCGGGGCCTGGGGGACTCGGGGCGGCTGTGATACACTGCCCTGTCACGGCAGCAAAACTGCTGCTAGAAAAGGGGAGGGTCCTGGCAGGATGGAGCTCGGCGCGTGTGCGCGCATTGGAGCAGCTTCCGCTTCGCTGCTTCAAATGCATGAGGACAGGACACACGCGCCGGCTGTGCAACAGTGAGGCAGATCGCAGCGCGGTCTGCTTCAGATGCGGCATGGAGGGACATAAGGCGGGGAACTGTCGGGCTCCACCAAAGTGTCTGGTCTGTGAGGAGGCAAAGTTACCGTCCAACCACGTCATGGGCGGTAAACTGTGTAAGCCTCCCAAAGCGCGTGGTCTGGAATCCTGGAGATCCCGCCCTGTGCATACTGAGGAGGGCGCAACCAACGCCATGGAGGTAACTTTATCGGAACAGTAATGCCCCAGACACCGATGAAGTTCCTCCAGACGAATGTAAACCACTGCGTCAGCTCTCAGGATATACTCCTGGCAAGCTTGGCGCAGTGGCACATAGATGTAGCTGTGGTCTCCGAGCCTTACTGTGTCCCACCCCGCTCAAACTGGGCGGGTGACGTGGGGGACGCAGTAACGGACACGGTGGCCATCCACATACCGAACCCAACAGCGAATACCCCGCTGTTGGTGGTCAGGGAGAGGGGCCCCGGATACGTGGCAGCACTATTCGGGGATATCGTAATAGTGGGGGTATATATATCCCCCAATGCACTATTATCGGAAGTGGAAACGTGGCTGGACCGCCTCACTGAGACAGTGAGAAGACAGACGCCGCGTCAAGTCATAGTGGCTGGAGACTTCAACGCACACAGTACTGATTGGGGCTCTCCGGTCACTGACTATAAAGGGAAGGTGGTAGAAGATTGGGCAGCGGCCACGGGGCTGACCCTCCTGAATAGGGGAAACACCCCTACATTCATCAGGAGGGTAAATGGCAGAGAGGTCAGCTCAATAGTGGACCTCACGTACGCCACCCCGGAGCTGGCACAGAGGATCCAGGGATGGAAAGTGGTAAAGAGGGGAAACGAGGAAACCCTATCGGACCACGTCTACGTCCGCTACCAGGTCTCGGGAAGGTCAGACGGGCACACCTGGATACGCTTGGTCCGAACCTGTCGCAAAACCAGTTTGGTTTCCGCAGATCGCTGGGTACTGTAGACGCCCTCCTTAAGTTAAAAAGAATAGTGGAAATGGCAACTAGTAGGGGAGAGGTCGTTATTGCAATATCCCTGGATATTGCGAACGCCTTTAACTCCCTCCCCTACTGTTGCATAAAGGATGCCCTCCGTTTCCACAAATTACCGGCGTACTTAAGACGCGTGGTGGAAAATTATTTAGAGGAGAGAGAGGAGTAGGGTAATATTGGGCATTCTGTCCCCCACTCGTTCGTGTCGACGTTTTGCCGCCACTCACTCATGGAATGACAGTATGCCCAATATTACAAATAGATATTACATTCATTTGATGACGGTTTTTTGACGAAAATCCATAAAATGTTTCTGATTACTCGCACTTTATATAAATAGTCAAATTTGTACAAATTGACTCACTTTATCTAGGACACCCGAAAGAATTGCTTACTACTATGAAATTTATAAAACAATCTGAAACGTTGCAATTGGATAGAATTTGTTCAGATACTGAGACAGTTATTTCTCGACATGGAAACTTGCTTCCTAATTCAGTTCGGTGTTTAGTTTGCGGTCCATCAAACTGTGGAAAAACAAATTTAATAATAGGTCTTCTGTTGCATGAAAATGGATTACATTTTAAGAATGTATATTTATACTCAAAAACACTGTATCAAACTAAGTACATTTATTTAGAGAACGTCTTTAAATTGCTACCTAGTGTTACGTTTGCAAAATACAGTGATAATGAATTGATTCTCAGTCCACATGATGCTAAGCCCCATTCTGTAATAATTTTTGATGATGTTGCTTGTGAGAATCAAACTAATATGCGAGATTATTTCGCTATGGGCAGACATAAATTTATTGATTGTTTTTACTTAAACCAAACATATAGTAAAATACCAAAACAACTAGTAAGAGACAATGCAAACCTTATAATATTATTCAAACAAGACGATATAAATTTACGACATGTATATGATGAACATGTGAATACAGATATGTCGTGGTCAGAATTTCGGGAAATGTGTTCAAAAATTTGGAAAGATACATACAACTTTTTAGTTATTAATAAAGATTGTGCAAAGAATGACGGTTGCTACAGAATGAACTTCGACACCTTCGTTACTTTCGATGAGTAACAAAATAAAGTTACTTTCAATCTAGAACACAATTCATTTAAGAAGTA